CAACACTATCCTAGCCACTGTGGATGCTTCTATTACACTAAACCCAATATTGTTCTGTCCCAGCCTACGTGAATACTGCTCAACCGGTTACTCAATGAGGAAAAACCCCTTTGCATTGAACAGGGCAGGACTTGATAAGATAAACCCCTTTTATTTTTACACAATTTTTATGAAACAAAACTCCAACCAGTCCTTTAACTGTTGAAACGAACAAGATTCAGTCTCTGAGTTCTCAGCTGGACTGCTCAAGGTTTAAGTAACTCAAACATACATAAAGCCGACAAACCTGGTTAAATATCCAAGAATCCTGAGGCAAGAAATCCAACGACAGAAGCACAAAGCTATAGCATGAAAGGTTGCCCCTCCCACACCTCTCTTTATAGTCCAGCCAGGGCGTGGCTTCTTAGACTTCTTAGAGTCTTTTATTTTTCCTGGAGAGCCGCCCCGCCGCCCTCCGCTGTCCTGCATGCCTTTCCTCCCTGCGCATCCGTGCATCTGGAGCAGGCCCCAGCTGCTCTTTGTCTTCGCTCAGTTCAGGCCCCCAAGCCAGTTGTCTCTCTGCCTCAGCATGAGTAGATGGGCCTGGTGTCACATCTAGCTCTGAGTCTTCCTGCTCCTCAGAGCCTTCCACAGACTCCGATGTGACCCCAGGCAACCCTTCCCCCTCATTCGATTCATCTGACTCGACTGCCGGATTTGCTGGCAGGCGAGGACTCGCAACAAATATCAAAAAGAGAAGTACAAACTTTTGATCCCCAAGCAATATCAAATTAGTATACATTTCTATTAACCAACACTGTAGTTTAATAACTTGGCATTAAACTCAATTGGATTTTTTTTTTTTTTTAAAAAAAAGTCAAGCTGAAAAAAGGAGAAAAACAACAGAAATACAGTTCTACTAACCTTAGTAGTTTTGAGTATGGTGGACTTTGAAATCTTTGGCTTCTCAGTGATCAGATTCAATCCTACCCACTTTATAAATTGTCTAAAGAAATAACCGTTAAACTGGTTCTGAATTTTCTATGAAAAAATTGCTATGGTCATTTTCTAAGTCTCAATTGGATTCATTCTAAAGTAGAAGCTATGTTTAGATCAATTTATATAGGTTTAGAAATATATTGAAAGATTATTTATTAGCAAATGGGTATAGTAAAATCTTATAAATAACCAAGTTTAAAACCAAGGTTCATATTTGCAACATAAGAGGGTATTACTCTGCTCAAATCTTTAAAATGTTTTTTGCAATGAAGTAGCTGAAGTCCTTGACTATTAGGACTGAAAATGCATGTGCTATTAACCTGTGTTTCTGTCATATCATGCTTGAAATTGAAGGGTTCTGGAACAAAGGGAAATTGTTTAGTCTAACTGTTGCTTTCTTGCTTTTTGTAATCAGCTTTTGCACCAGGGAAATCTCATGCAAGCGTGAGAATCATGTACATGGATGTGATATACTGAAGGAGGGAATAAGGGAGTGTACAGGAATGATTGATGTCTTTCTTATGGTGTAATGGCTCTGTTGTCTGATTTTCATTGGCTAATAAAGTTTATAAAGCAATGCTACCAACTTTCTAAGGTGTGGCACTTCTGGACGTAACTCTGCCAACGTTCCAGATTGTTGGACACCCAGCTACTTGTTTTGATCAAATAAAGTGCTGCTTGATCAAGAAGTCTCCACTTGGGTTATCTGATTAGATTGACATGGTATCTCAAGTTCAAGTAAGGGACTGGGACCTTACAGAGTGATGGTGTCCTCATACCAGTTTAGTACATAGTAATAGCACATTACTATCATATACATTCTGTACTGCATTTCAAGTTGAATGCACAAAAAAAACGTATTTTAGCCCTAAGGCTAAGTCAAAATGCTTCACCTAAAAACCATTGCCTTTTAATCTGTATTATTAAAGAAATGGTTTGCAATCCTATAGTCTGACCTCCTAGACTCTCAGAATATCACTGATTTTCTTAAAGCTAATATATTTGGAATGTTCTCAGTTACAACATATATATAAATTAGTATAACATTTACTAATTCAGTGTTGGGGTTGAGACAAAATTAACAATTTCAAGAACAAACTAGTTATCCATTCTATTTTTTCCCCTGTAATACCTATGTGTGAAATATTGTATTTAATCTTTACCATATCTGTTTTCTTTAACTTTTCTCTTGAATAATGTTCAATCATTTTTTTTCTCCAGCTGAGCCTTATGTTTGAGCCCAGCTGAAAAAAGACAGCTTGGAATGGATTTATAGAATAGAATCAATGAAAATTTGGGGAAAAAACGCACCTTTTCATCCTTTATTTGGTTATTGCCTAGTAGAAAGATTGAAAGCAATAGATTTGCATTCATTAAAAGCTTGCCACTTTAATTGCAGAGGATCTGCTTTAAAAAAAATCACAAAATCTGGAAACAGCCTTCACTCTGCTACTGGATTGTATATTCCTATTCTCTGGACAGAATTGGCATTGTATAGTCACCATTTAGTTCAACTTTTCTGGCTGGAGTAAGAAAGATTTCTGAGGAGAGGACCATACTTCCTTCCATGTGAGAGAACCTGCTCATATAAATTGTTAAGCTACTTGGGGAGATTCCCATAATCCCAGAATAGCCCATTCAGCATCCCTTTGAAAGAGGCAGGGTTTTTAGGAAGAGAAAGTGACAATAACATTATCTTTTTGTCTATATCCTTTTCATGGACTGGATCCAACACACCCATGTTTAGGAGTGCCTTGTTTAGATGTCTACTGAAAACAAAATACTTGTACTGAATATGAAACTGCCTTTAACTTCTTAACTTGCTTGAATGACTGCAATTTTATAGGTTTAAAGGTTTTGGCTGAGACAAATTCCAGAGAAGGCCTACCGGGAGACTGAATTGGGCAAGGCTGGTATGCCTGCTTCCCACTCTTTTCCACTTATCTGGCCTATCCATTTATTTATTTATTTGTCAAACTTGTATGCCGCCCATCTTGCCAACGGTGACTCTAGGCCAGACATGTCAAACTCGCGACGTCATGTGACATCGCGCAACGTATCGGGACAGTTTTGCCCTTGCCGGCAATGGGGTGGGCGAGGCTTCTGGATGATGCGTCCGGCCCGTGGGCCGGCAGTTTGACACCCCTGCTCTAGGCCAAAGGTCCAGAACCTTTGGGGCACCAGGGACCGGTTCCATGGAGAGAGGTTTTTCCGCAGACCAGGGTGTGTGTGGTTTTGTGTGCTGCCTGCATCCCACAGATGGGGCTTTGCTTGTTTGTGCGGACTGGTTGCTGGCATGCCGCGGCCCGGTACTGGTCCAGGGGGTTGGGTACCCTTGCTCTAGGCCAGAGGTAGGCAACCTTGGCTCTTTTATGACTCGTGGACTTCAACTCCCAGAATTCCTCAGCCAGTTATGCTGGCTCAGGAATTCTGGGAGTTGAAGTCCACGAGTCATAAAAGAGCCAAGGTTGCCTATCTCTGCTCTAGGCAAATGCTGTATAAAACCAAAACAAACATCTTAAATTTAAAAATTCAATCAAATCCATTGATTTCAGCACTTTCCTGTATTTGAATCTCTGGACTTGCCGCAGCCAACTTGGTGTGGAAAAACTCGGCATGGCCAACTTGCTGCGGGACAAGAGTTACACTAATATCGAAGAAATGGTGGAACAGAATCATTAAAGAAAGGATGCAAAAGCAGGGACAAAATGAAATGTGAATGACAAAAATTAAAATATTTTTTTTATTATTTTAAATAATTAAATTGAATGGTTGCATTGTCCTGCAGCGAGTTGGCCTGTGGCAAGTTGTCCCATTCCAGGCAGCAACACCTAAGAGGAGGTAGGGAAGACAGGCTACAGATGAAGCCAAGGACACTGCCAGGCAGGGCTCTCTCTAGCCCTAATCTTCTGAAGGCCTTTACCTCCCCCTTAGTTATGTTTTGCACCCCCCATTTTCCTTCTATTTAAATATACTAATGTCAATAAACAGTGACTTAATTACACTGCCAAATTTTAAACCTACAAGCTTTAAAATAAATTTCTTGATTTATGTCACTCCTTTCGTCATTGCAAACCAAACCCCCATTGCAAACTTGCCCACAAATTTTACTATTCTAATGAATATGTGATTTATTTTCTCTTATATAAATGGGTGAAAATATCATGGAACATACATTTCATCTCATAATGGTAACAATTTATTGTTGCCAACTTAAAATAGTGGTAATATGACATTTAAATATTTATTACATGACACGTTATTAAAAACAAGATCATTAAGGTCTGCATTCACATCATTAGTGTTTGTCAATTCAATTTTTTAGTCTTGCAGACTAGTTGAATTCAGAAATTTCATTTCTGTTAGTTTTGGTGATCTGAAATGACATTAGAGCTGTTTAAAGTTGTGGTCTACACAAAATTACCTCTTAAGAGCTCTTTGTGTTTGTTGCTGAAGAGTGGAAACATTACCATGAATGTACAAAACATCTGACCAGCAGGTATTGGAAAAAATGGTATTCAGGTAATTGCCTGGATCCTGTAATAAATTAAAATCTTTCAGAATGACTAAGCCTCAGAATGTCCTCTTCAGAAGGTACTGAAATGTTCCTTTTGTGACCCACAGAACTGTCTCTTTTTATGAGGCAAGTGTAGAAAAAAAGACTCAATAGGTGGTTGGCTACACTGGCAAATGCTGGGTTTAAAAGAGGGCACTGAAGAAGATTGCTCAAGTGAATTGAAAAAAGGTTGAAGCAAACTTCTCTTGAGGTCTCCCAACACTCACTGAGTGGGTTGGTCAAATATGTCATACTGAGACACACGGCACTGAGGCAGTCAGAAGGAAAGCGGCTCTATAGTGCAAGGCCACCTGGGTTTAGTTGATTTTTGTTTTTGTTTTCAGTCCCAGAATTCTCTGACTCATGTCTCTTGAAGAAGTTGTTTGGCAGGCTATCCATCAAACCGCCTTCTAATGTCTGCAGCCCATCATCATCATCTCATGAACCAAATGAGCCACTGAACTTGTCATACCCATTCCTGGACAGGTCTTCTGTAGTATGTCACGCTTTGCTGGACCTCTTTATTTTTGAACTGGAAGATTGTGTATACCAAGACAAGGATACACAGAGATAAAATGCAGGGGATCACAACTGCAATTGCATTAACGGTGCTAGGCACATCGTTTATAGTTACCATAATATCAACATCATCATGAGAGAGGCGTCGGTCTTTGCTTCGTTCAACTTCCTTCTGGTTGCAACCCATCCAGTCTTTGAGAATTGACCTAGGATACCCTGGCTCCACAGTCAGCCTCTGGTTATCAAACTTCCAGTATTCCTTACCCTTATAAAAATAAGTATAAACTGAAAAAGAAAGCAGAAATTACTCCATTCATGCACTGCTAGAATCACAGGAATCAGTCATTTAGGCCATTGTGTATAGGAATCCAAATTAAAGCTTCCCAGACAAATTGCTGTCCAGAATTGGGCACAATTTTGAAGTGGAGCCTAATAAAAAGAATAGAGTGGAATGATTACTTATGATTTGGTAATTGCATTTTTTGATGCAGCCTAAAATTGAATTTGGCATCTTTGTAAGCCAATATACTTTTGGCTCAAATTCAGTCTGCAATCAACAACAATTCCAAGATCTTTTTTGCGACTATTGTTAACAAGGCAGGTATCCCTCATCCTACACATCTGCATTTGATTTTTGTTTTATAAGTGAAGAACTTTTTACTTGTCTTTTTAAGATTTATTTTTACTTTCAGCCATTTCTCAAATCTATCAGCATAATCTTAAATTTTCCTTCTCTCCTCTAGACTATTAACTACTGCAGTAGTTAATACATCAGATTACTGCAGTAATCTGATGTATTACTTCATCTCCTCAATCAAATAATAAAATTCTGAAAAATAGAGGATCCCAAACTGATTGTGACATTCCACTCAACATAGTTGAATGAGAAATTATTCCTGAGCATTCTGAATACAACCTTGAACGCAGTTCGGAATACAGTAAGTTTTCAAATCAATAATTCAATAATACAGGACAATAATTCAATAATTGTCCTGTAATCCAACCCACACTTAACTAGCTTGTTACATTAATCACCATGTCATGGAGTATTTTATCAAATGCTTTACTGCAGTCAGAGTATAGAAAATCTGCATAGTAAGGGTGGAGATAAAGTAGAGAATTTTGTATATGGCAAAATTAGCCATACTTTAGAAGACAGTAAAAAGAAACAATTATTTAGGTTTTCCTACACACAGAAAATTATATTTCCTTCATTTGCATCAGAAAGAAAAATGAGAATAGGAATAAGCATCCATTTATTGTTTAAGGTCAAGAAAGCTCACTGATGAAATCAATCCAGCTTAGTTGAAATACAGGTTTCAGCAAATCAGATACCTAGCCAAAATTTCCAGGAACAGAATATGTATTGCCTTGTCAGCAATCTGCTTATAAGCATGCGTCTTTGCATTATTATGATTGCTTGATCATAGCAATCCAAACGCTTTGCTTAGGAAAAAAAAAAGACATTAAGTGCTATTGAACCAAATACAACATGTTTATACTCACAGCCTTCTTTGCTGACAAAAGCCCCTTGTGGAGCTTGTGGAATCCCTTTCCACACAGTGATTGGTTTGGGGTAGCCTGGATCTGTTGCTCTCTTGTCTTCATTATATCTCCAGTATTTATCTCCTTTGAAGAAGTATGTTTTGCCTACAGGTTCCCACCGTAAAGCTGTGTCAATCCCTTCCCGGGGAAGACAGCTTCCCAACTCCACTAGGCTGTGCGGATACCCTGGTTCTGCTGTCACTTCCTTAAAAACCCAATACTTATCTCCTAGATTTGAGGAGAAAGAACATACATAATATATAATTACTAATTAAATCATTAACTATTTTTTTTATCCTAGAAGTTCAGAAAATAACATGCAACAATTTTTCATTGTTTTCCTTATCTGATTCAAAAGGGTTTTTTGATAGCTGAATCAGCCAGAGAGCCTAATCCAGTGTTTCTCAACCTTGACAATTTTAAGACATGTGGACTTCAACTCCCAGAATTCCACAGCCAGCATTGCTGGCTGTGGAATTCTGGGAGTTGAAGTCCACATGCCTTAAAATTGTCAAGGTTGAGAAACACTGGCCTAATCTATTGGGCAGTAGCAAATTGCAGTTGATAAACTGCCTTCCATAAAGTTGACCGTGTGGTTGCAATGTGTTGGAAATTTTTAAATTTTCTGGAAAACAATCCACAATTGCATTCAGAAACCTGATGCAAATATGGACTATGCTAAAGACTGTGTCCCTCAGAATGATTATCTAAAGAATAGATTTTTTAAAAAAAAAGTTACTTAGCAATAAGAACGTTTTGCCTAGGTTTTTACTTTCTATAAAAACATCTGAATATCATCAAGTTTTCTAAATAATAAAAATACCTTGATGGTGTTAGTGTGCTCTGAGGAAAATAAGAACTATGCCAGAGGTTCAATCATACTGGACAGGTCTCATCTGAGGAGATGGACAAGTGTCTTTCCCATTAACAGTATGGTAAGATGTAATTTAAAGAAACCCATGCTGAATCAGTCACCACCCGGTCAACAAGGACTGCTCTTACTTCCATTAATCTATTTTCTCTCTATCCCGAGAGCCCTGCTCAATTTCCACTCCAAACTAGACAGAACTTTCTACATACACCCATTTTACTGCAGAGCATTTTGGCAATTCAATTCCTTAATACATGATCTATGCTTTTCTCAATACAGCAACTCATTCTTCCAAATTTTGCAAGGCAACACACACTATTTATTTTTCTATTACATTACTGTTTTTGCTTATCATATACCAGTGATGGTGAACCTTTTAGAGACCGAGTGCCCAAACTGCAACGCAAAACCCACTTATGCATTGGGTGCCAGGTGGGTGTGGCCCATTGGCTGGGTGTGGCCCATTGGGTGGGCGTGGCTGTGATGGTAACGGCAGACTGGGTGGGACTAATCAATTCCAACTTTGCAAGATCTTTTTTTTCCCCACGAGAAGTTGAAATTGACTGATTGATTGAAACTTTTTTTTTTTTGCACACGGCGGCAGAGGCCTAAAGCGAAAAGGTTTTATAAAACCCAGCTGAAGGCCTAGGACTGGGCAACAGCACGCATGCCCACAGAGAGGGCTCTGAGTGCCGCCTCTGGCACACGTGCCGTAGGTTCGCCACCACTGTCATATACTGTACAATCAATATTTTAAGAAGATGGCAGATTGACACCAAACTGACAGCAGTTTATGGAAAACTGAAGGTTCTCTGAGACATAGCTTAATAATAAAAAAACCAAAGAAAACTAGTTTAATCTGAAAAGGCAAGATAAATATAAACAAAGGCTTTTGAGACTGCCTTCCTTGGTAAATTGTTATTTATGGAGTTCTTCCTCCAGCAACAATGGAGGAGAAAATTGCAGTTGAAAAGACTTGAAAAGATTATATTTTCACAGATGTTTACCAAGTATTGCTTGGTTTTGAAATTTTGAAGGTAAAAGAAAATATACATATAAATGCATGCATTTCTACAATTACAAATTATATTTCACATACATGTTTTCTTATGTATATATTTTAAAACTAGCTGTACCCGGCCACGCATTGCTGTGGCTCAGCCTGCGCGTGTTGCTTTTACATCCAACAGATGGCGCTGTTTTTCAAAAAAAGCATGTTGTTACCTGTCACAGGTGTGACATCTATATAATAGTAGGTATATAAAAACACGCGCGTATTCGAATGCAACGTTGTGTCAAAATTTCAAAGCAATCGGTGAAGAACTTTCGGAGATTTAAGATTTTGAACAAACGAACATTTACATTTTTATTTATATAGGTTATGTTTTAGAATGACTAACATTCTTTAATCTCTTGATTATTCAAAAATCAGCAAAGATGACAAATTGAACAAAAATGTATTAAGGCCACGTTTTCAGCATCTGTTTTAATAATATTCATATTATTGTTGAACTGTTTGTATTTACATGATAAAAAATATTAATACCTTTAAAGAAAACAAATTTTCCATCAGATCTTTCATAGGCAGCATCAATTTTTGCTGGGAGCCCTTTCCAGAACTGCTCAATTTGCATGGGATAACCCTCTTGTACTCGACTGTTACGAAGACGCCAAAACCAGCGGTCCTAACAAAAGAAAACAACCTCCTAGGATTATACTTCAGATTCCAGAAAGAGGAAACAAAACAGTGAAAGAGGTTTTATACTGTATTCTTTAAAAAAGCAGTGCAAGACGTTTTGTTACCTCAGGCACAGCAGCAGGATGAGATGCATAGGACTCAAAGCCAATCCAGTTATTTTGGCACGAGTGGAATTTTACTTCCAGAAAAGCAGAGTGGTACTTATATTATTGGGTACCTGTATTATTTCTAACATCAATGCCTCTCTCCTTCCCTGGAAGTAAAAGCCTAAGACAGGCTATCTCACTCTGTCTAATAATAGAACTAGCTCTTGATTCCAGTCTTTCCCACCCCCACCACCAAGATTACTTGATAACATTGATTTCCAGAAGAAAACCATCTCAAATCCATGTCCTTTCTTTTTCTACATTCTATGCTCATCTTTACATTCAAATCAAGTATCAAGTGATGCACTAATTTGCTCTCCTTCCACTCCCATTTTTTTTCACTTAAAGACATGCAGAAATTCAGAACAGGATACAAAGCAATAAAAGTTTACAATATTAAACAATATAAAAACCCATATTTAAGACAATATTTAATAATACAAAGAAACAGCAACACATACATAAAACACTGATGTGTTCTTAAAAGTTTTTTAAAAGAATGTCACAGAAACATTAAACCTGCAACAATCCTAAATATTAGCATCTTAGGCTATCATCTCATTCAGTATAATGAATCCTTATTGGTCTAGATCTGTAATCTTTATCTAAGGACATGACCAATGTTTCTTTCTTATGATACACAGCCAACTACTCGACTCAACAGAACATTTTAAAGAAGCAACAATCACTTTCCTTTTCTGCAATTAAACCGATGCAGGAAATCCATTTAGACTTTACAGCTTACTCAGCTTAATGATACATCCTGCTTTGCTCAGCAGATTTACACATTATGATATAAATTCTAGATCTAGAGTACCACTACTGTAAAATGTTTGCACTTTGGGATAGGATATAATGGCACTTGTAAAATTTTGCTTTTCCCAAATCACAGAGAAAAATGTGCAAACTTGTTTCTATTTGTGCAAGCAATCTGATGTAAGACAATTTGATATATCAATGATACTAAACTCAGCATATTATGGTCCTTTTTTTTGTTAGGGTTTAACATTCTGCTTTAAAAAAACATTTGATACATTTTTTTTCAATTAGAAATGACCAAAAAGTGAGGAATTAATTAGAAAATAGAGGTTTTTCTGATAGATAAGAGGACTATTCTGGTTCAAATACCTTCTAACCATTTCAGAAAATTTAATATAAAGCATAGCATCATTATTTCTCACGTTTGCAGAGCAAAATGTCGGAATATACTTGCCTTGCTACAAAACCCACCTCATGCCCTGGACATATCTAAGCCTCATTTATGAAACAACTCTTCACAGGGACTAGAGTTCTGACAGACACAAAATTGCTACATCAAAACAAATGCCAAAAACAGAACACAGCACATTCTTGAAAACAATGTGAAAACAATCCTTATTTTAATTAAAAATGTTTAGATTTAGGTCATCTAAATATTTGAGAAGGAAAGACATTGTGTCACCGGCTATATCAAAATATCCTAGTAATTCCTCAGACAAAAAATGCAGGCAAATTCATTGCGAGTCAGTCATTATTGAATTAGATTAGTGATATCAAAATACCAAATGACTTGGTTGACAGGCAATGGATTATACACTCCTTTGTACTATGTAGAGATTAATAAAAACCACACTTCTAGAACAGTTCTTCCTACCTTGAAAACAAACATTTCTCCTCGGAACAGAGCCACAGTATTGAAATTTCCATCACATATGTTGGGTTTGCTGCCAGGAGCAGAAGGCCTGTCCCCTAGAGGAGGCCTGGGAGGCCGTGAGTGTCTGTCATGTTTTCTTTCTGAAGTTGAATGGATTCTGCGGACAGGAAGGGTTGGTAAAGGTCTGGTGGGTTCCAGCGGTTCAGCAGGTGGACCTAAGCAAAAAGAAGGGGGGAAACCGAAAAGCAGTTGGGAGTGTTTTCCCCACTACATTAAACGTTGTCAGACAGCTTGAGCATGTTTTTCTAAAGATTTTATCAAAATATTTTCTTTATCTACAACTGCAATATAATTTTCAGTGTCCTGCAGCAAATTACTTTTGGATAATATAATTACCAACAATATTGAATTTTTCCACATAAAGTGCTTTAGCTATTAGTCTATCAATGGATGCAACCCTTTTATGGTTGCTGTGGAACGCGTTGCAGATCACATGTGGGTAAGGCTTGGAAAAAAAATTAAAATTACCTGGGACACGTATATTTGCCTTCATTCGTGAAAAATTAAAGCCCTTTATTATCTTTTTTTGCAAGTGTGGAGAAGATATTTATTGGGTTATGAGTCACTCCAGTGCTCAGGGGACATGTTTATATTTCATTGCTACAACCTGGCAGTGCATTTGCACACTAATGCAAGCTAGAAGTGCCATGGTACTGCAAGCTGTCATTCAATTATAATTTTGGAATGGACTGAGGGTACTGAGATGTGGAGATACTGGCAGAGAGATGCAGGAAAGAGTGCTTTGCTTACAGCAGACAAGGGCCAATTTGTGATATATCCAGAGCATTATATTTATTTTGTATTTTTCTTTTTTAATTGATTTCACAGGTTTGGTACCATTATGATCTAGGCATGTCTTGTAATTTATCTTCTTCCATGAAATGCTTGTAGTTTTATATATTTAAAGTTAGAAAGCTTAAAAAAAAAAAAGCTTAAGCAGAAGGGCAGCAAATGGAGGAACAGACCTGTCTCTCAACACATTGGGCTTCTAAATTGGATGCAGGATGGGTGAAGCTCTCTGGAAAATAAGCAGTAGTAGCAGAAACTATCAGGCCATGACTCCAGAACAGGATCAGAGCTTCTGAAAGGCAATGTTGGGAATTCCAGCCTTTCACCCTGCAGACTTCAACAATTTGCTACACAAAGGTTGTTGGATACAAAGCATGGTGATAACATGGTGAAAGCTGTAGCTCTTAATCTTTTTAAAGCTTTTCTTTTTTGTTGCTCTTTTCTTTATTGCTTCGAAAGAGAAAATTGTTCTAATACTACAGAAGGGAACTCTTAGTGATTACATGAAAATAGGGAGGAGAGAAAGGATCAAGAAACAGAAATGCAGTCTTGTGAAAGAAACCCTGTGGGGAATGGCACTAAAAGTCCATTCCTTGGCATGAGTGTTGTTGACATATGCAGCCTAAACATATTTTTGGGATAAAGTTGGCACAGGTATGAGATAAGGACAGAGGGTGCCAAGCTTGCCACATGTAATGTCACATGTGCTAGTCAATAAATGTTTGTGACATTTCAGTATTTTACTTATATTTTTACTTATATTTTACTTATGGTTTATACTCAATAGTTGTCCTTGCTATAGTGGTGAAAGAGCATGCTACCAACAACAGCTTGTTTTGACTTGAGAAAATGTCATTTCCTTACAATTGATGCATTCATAGAGGCAGCCTTCATTTGCAGCCAGCTCAATAGTTGAGTAATTGTTGCATATTTCTTATTGAAGGAACCTCTGCTCATATCAAAATAGAATACACTTAAAGACACCATTTTAAATTCAACAATGAATGTGAAGTCTGAAATGCCTGAGCAGTTTTCTGAAGACATGTCTTTATTTCAGTGGTGGGATATTTCAGGGGTACATGATATCTTAGCAGTGCAGAGCAGGCAAGCAAGAAAACTATATTTTTTTCTGAAGGGGCTAAAATCAATTTAAGAAGTAAAATGGATGGGGACTTCCGGTGAGCAGGCGACCTCGTCGGACGCAGCTGTAGCTGCCTCCCGTCTGTCTTCGCGTAAAAGCCGTTTTGACAGCGAGCACTAGCTGTCAAACGGCTTGATACCTTTCCCCCGGGCATAAGGGGATCGGTGAGCTGCCCGGGGTAGGAGTTGAGTTCCCGAGTCGTCCGATTTGGACGATGTAGGTTAGAACTCCTCCGGAGCCCCGAGGAACCTCCGTGATCCAGGACGCCTTCGCTTCGGCGAAGCTAGAAGCCGCCGCCACCGCTGCAACTTAAATTTAACTGTGAGTGACTGTACGCAGACAAACCGACCCTGGAAGTTTGTTCTTTACTTTGGACTTTACTCTGACTCGAGTTATTTTGATCTTCCCTATACCTGGGTTGGATTGTGCGAAAGTGAACTTAAAATGGCGATGAATGATACTTTCTAGCGAGAAGAAGTGAAAGTGATTTCTGGTTTGGAACTTTTGTTACTTTCAACACTTTCACTATCTGCCTTGGATTAATTGTTTAAAAGACTCTCATATAGACTGAAATTCTAATATTGTTAATATGGCTTCGAGAAGATTGGTGCCAACGACTGCAAAACCAATTTCATCTCCGACTTCTCAGCCGCTTCAACCAATTCCTAAGCCGGTCTCACACCCTCCACCCCCGCCATCTTCCTCACCCCCGCCGCCCTCTGGTAAAGAATTACAGGACTTTATGTTTCAAATGACAGAGATGTTTCAAAAAATGGATGCTAAAATTGAAAATAAGATTGATCAATTAATACACCAACAACAAGAATTAGTACAGAAACATGAGGGCTTTCGGGTGAATGTGACAACTGCTTTTCAAGGTTTGGCTGAATATGTGGACGGAGTGGCAGAAAGGGTGGAGGAAAATGAACAGAAGGCTGAAGCGAGTGAACAAAGATTGGATTCGATGGAGGAGAGTTTGGAAAATGTTAAGGGTGATGTTCTGATTGCACAATTTCGTGATATGGAGTATGCAATTCGTATTCGTGGATTGGCTGAGGATCCAAAAGAGAATTTAAGGGAAATAATTCCAGAAGCACTCATGGATGCCCTGGCTTGTGGGCATGAAATTCATGGAGAGATTGAACGTGTTTTCAGGGTAAATTCTTGGGTTGCTCGCCAGAAACAATTGCCAAGAGACGTGGTCGTTTATTTTACAAGAAAATCAAGACGGAATGAAATAATGCAGCTTTTTTTTCAACAGAGATTCAAGATTTTAAATCAAGATATTATTCTTTTAAAAGAAATCCCAGCGAAAATGCTTAAAGCGCGACGAGATTATGCTTTCCTGGCGCAGGAGCTTAAGAACAGGCAAATAATTTTTAGATGGGATGTACCAGTGGGCATAATTGTAACAGTGGCTGGTAGGCGTTACAGAATCAACTCGATTAAAAAGGCGAAAGAATTTATGGCGTCTGTGCTACAAGCGGAGTGTCCAATTACACCTCAAAAGGCTGATTCGGTTGAGCATTTGATTGTGGACCTCCCTTCTACTTCCGGTGCTAAGGATGTAAATGGGCGTTCAAAGGATAATGGAAAAGAACAAAGAGTGACCCGCGCAGCTCACAGACGCAAAGAGAAGGAACAACTGACAGCCCGCCAAACAGCTGAGAGTTCCCCACCTGCCACTTCAGAGCCAGTAGGTGGCGCTCGACCTAAGGTCTTTGTTAAGTCTTATGCTTCAAGCATTGCCATAGGATTGAAATCAGCAAATGTTTAAGATTTCATCTTGGAATGTGGGGGGACTTAACACACCCCATAAAAGACGCAAGATTTTTCATTACTTAAGACATTTTAACAATGATATTACATGCTTANTTCTAAGCTTGGAGATTTGTTTGTTGCATCTGCCTTAAAGAAGAAAGCTGGGGTTGCTTTATATATAAAAAAACATCTTTCACCTATTTTAAAAGAAGCTGATAAAGAAGGAAGATTTTTACTTGTGGAAATAAATTTAAATGGAAGAAAGTGTTTAATAGTGGGGGTTTATGCTCCCAATCAACTGTCATCTCAAAAATTATTTTATAGACAATTACATCAGAAGATTGTGGCTTTGGATTATAATTCTTTGATTTTTATGGGGGACTGGAATGGAGTACCTAACACTTTAAAAGATAAGAAGACAACTTCTAGGGATGTGGCCCTTTCCAGACTCCCTAAGTCTTTTTTTGCGATGATGGAAGATCTGGAGCTGGTGGATGTTTGGAGATCACAACATATGAATGAACGTGATTTTACCTTCTTCTCTCATAGACATGAGTCTTTCTCAAGGATTGATTTTGTCTTGACATCAATTGATTTGCTTATTGACTGTAATAAGACAAAAATTTTCCTAGAACCTTGTCAGATCACAGTATGGTATGGATAGAGATAGGTCAATATAAAAAAAGGAAATCTTGAAGAATAAATGAAAATTTGTTTAATCATGAGGAGAAGCTCAAAGTTTTGAAGGACTATATGGAGGAGTTTTTTCAACTTAACTTGCATAAGGGAACCCCTATATATACTGTCTGGGATGCAAGTAAGGCCTATTTGAGGGGCCTGTTAATTTCTATGAACAATGCACACAAACGTAAGCAATTACAGAGTAGATTAAACTTGGAAAAAGAAATTGGGATTAAAGAAAAATTATTATCACAGCGGCCAACAGACACTAACTTGAAGGCTTCTATTAAATTACTTAAGGATCAATTTAATATTTTAATTGCTGATCAGGTGGCCACCAATTTGAAGTACATCAAACATAATACATTTGCTAATGCAAATAAACCAGGGAGATGGTTGGCCTACCAATTACGCAAAAGACAGAAAGCTAGACTTATATCTAAAGTTGTGGTTAAGGGCCGCGAGGTATATCAACACGAACTGATTAAGAAAGCGTTTACAGATTTCTACTCACACTTATATGCTGCTGGGTCTACAAAAATTGAAGACATTGATAAATACTTACAACTTTCACCCATATATAAACTTACACCAGAACAACAGAAATTGATGAATGAAGAGATTACTGCAGATGAAATTTTAAATGCAATCAAACAACTGAAAACTGGCAAAGCTCCTGGTACGGATGGTCTGACAGCAATTTATTATAAGTCTTTGTCAGCTGAACTGATTCAACCTTTAAAAGTATTATTTAATAGAATTATGTTGGGAGAACAAATACCACAGTCGTGGACAGGAGCCTTTATATCTTTGATACCGAAGGATGAGAAAGATATCTTGGAACTTAAGGATTACAGACCTATTTCTTTGTTGAATGTGGATTATAAAATTTTTGCAAAAATTTTGGCTAATAGATTGATGCAGATATTGCAATATTATATACATGATGATCAGACTGGTTTTATAACTGGAAGATACATGAAGAACAATATTAGACAAATTTTGAACTTGTTGGAATATTTGGATAAGAATAATCAAATGCCATCGGCTTTTATCTTTTTAGATGCGGAGAAGGCCTTTGACAAATTGGACTGGCAGTTCTTAAATAAAATATTGGACTATATGAATTTTGGAAATCAATTTAAGACAGCTATAAAAGCGATATATCAAAAACAATCTGCTCAAATAATTATTAATGGAGACCTGACAGAATCTATAGATATACAAAAAGGCACCAGACAAGGTTGTCCACTTTCTCCATTATTATTTGTACTGTCTTTGGAAATCTTGTTGTCTAGAATTAGAGAATCACCAATGATTAAAGGCTTAAAGATTTTTACTAAAGAATATAAACTTAAAGCTTTTGCTGATGATTTAGTTTTTACATTAACTCAACCAATTAAATCACTGGAATTTTTGTTGCAAGAGCTACATCAGTATGGTAAAGTGGCTGGATTCAAAATTAATGTGAATAAGACTAAAATTCTTACAAAGAATATGATTGTAAGAGACAAAGATCAACTTATGCAGATGTCAGGATTTGAAGTGGTTAATAAAGTTAAATATTTGGGAATTTTCTTGTCATCATCCAACGCAAAACTTTACCAGAATAATTATGAAAGATTATGGAAATTGGTACAAAAGGATATATTATCGTGGAAAAAACGACAGCTTTCGTTGCTGGGTCGTATAGCGGCCATTAAAATGACTATTCTGCCTAAGTTTCTTTTTTTATTTCAGATGATACCTATTTTAAAAAATGAAATTAACTTGAAAGAATGGCAAAGAGATTTGAATCGTTTTATTTGGGAAGGCAAGAAGGCGAGAGTTAAATTCAAGATTATTCAAGACACCAGAGAACGTGGAGGACTTAAAGTACCAAATTTGACACTTTATTATGATTCTTGTGCATTAACGTGGATGACTGATTGGATTAACTTGTCTAACAAAGGGATTCTGAATGTCGAAGGTTGGGACTTGTATTTTGGGTGGCACGCTTACCTCTTTATGCAGAAAAAAACTGATAAAACTTTCAGAAATCATATAATAAGGTCTGCAAAAATATTTTTTTAAGTTTAATGTTAAGCTACCACTCTGGGTGATTCCGTCGCATATTTTTCAAGCTATAACTAGAGGAGTGGTGATGGAGGGACCTACTTATAAAGATTTGTTATACCAGAGTGGTGGTGGTAACTGGTGCCTAAAATCAATGGATGAGTTAAAGCAAAACAACCCAAATTTTTCTTGGCTTTTGTATGGACAAATTAAAGATAGATGGCGAATTGANGGCAAGCCAAGAAACAGAAATGGCTGAAGTATCATGAGGTTTCTTTAAAGCTTGACATAATTATTAAAAACCATTTGAAATTATGAGATATTGAATTTATCTTACCATAGATCTTCTGAATTCCTTGAAGGTCATCTTGGGGTAACTTAAAGTTGTGTGTCTCCATGTACTGATAAAAAGGAGCCATAATAGCACTAGGGTCATTGGAATGCTCAAGGCCTAATGCATGACCCAATTCATGTACTGCAACCAGAAAAAGATCATTTCCTATAGAGGCAAAGTATGTAGCTATTAGCTTCTGTATTAATAGGACAAGAGTTCCAATCACAAGCTTCACAAATTCTTATTATCTCAACATTATAGTGGTATAGCAGTTATGGCTTTACAAAGAAACTCAGGCTACATCTGAATATAATTGCAATATCTATTGTGTCTTTTGTATACTGTTTCTGCTCGTATAATAGAATTAACAATTTTTATGTATTTAATTGACTCAATATCATCTCAATAGTCCTGGCAACAATATCAAAAACAGTATCAGCTACACAAATCAGTTCAGGTTCATAGACAATTTTCTAATATGGTACCCAGTACATGTTTTGAGATTATGACTTCAATCATTCTTAGCAAGCATACCACAAAGCAATGTTATTCATTAAAGATAATTTGATTCTTGTTAACAAGATTTTGCAAAGGCTGCTGACTGTATGTGACTAAGCTATCAAAGACACTAGTTGTATCACACTGCAAAATCTACAGTAAATCTGAGGGAAAAGAATTTCAGAGGTCAAAGTGTCTTCTGTTTATCATTTATCAAGACACAGAGCATAAATAGGCAGTTTTAGGCAATGTACGGTCCAAAAAGACAAAATATGAAATCTAAGTTTATAATATTATGCCCCAAATCCAGACAGAATTTGGAAAAATATACTTAGTATCACTTAGAATAAAGAGGACATCCTACAATACTGGAAGAGAGCCCCAAGGCATTTTTTAATTTTAATTTTAGGCATTCTTATTTTGTATCTTAAGTCATTAAATTCTATAGAGCTAGAGGTCTTCAAGATGCTCATATATCTACATTATATCCAGTGTAAAAAACATACTCTATTGCAAATGAACTCTAGCAGATTAACTGTATCTTTACAGTTTGCAGAAGGATTTTCTTAAACTGGAGGCTAAAACATATAAGGAACGGTTGCTGGAATTGGGTATGTCTAGTTTAACGAACAGAAGGATGAGGGGGGACATGATAGCAGTGTTCCAATATCTCAGGGGCTGCCATAAAGAAGAGGGAGTCAAGCTATTTTCCAAAGCGCCTGGAGGCAGGACAAGAAGCAACGGGTGGAAACTAATCAAGGAGAGAAGCAATCTAGAACTAAGGAGAAACTTCCTGACAGTTAGAACAATTAACCAATGGAACAACCTGCCTCCAGAAGTGGTGAATGCTCCAACACTGGAAGTTTTTAAGAAGAGACTGGACAGCCGTTTGTCTGAAATGGTGTAGGGTTCCTGCCTGGGCAGGGGGTTGGACTAGATGACCTTCAAGGTCCCTTCCAACTTTATTATTATTATTATTATTATTATTATTATTATTATTATTATTATTATTATTATTATTATTATTATTATCTAGATATTTTTTAAAATATTTTTCATTAATAAATTTAAGAATAATAAAATATGCATTTTTAAAAATTAAGTGAGCACTAAACACACAAAAACATCAACAACCTCTATATACTCTATTACATTATTATTCTTAGTTTTATTATGTATTCCAAAATAAAAACAATGGAACATAGCACTTTTTTTGTTTCTTGTCATCTTTAAAAAAATGAGAATCATGTTTCAATTAACATATCAATATAATTGTCCTTCAGATGTTTTTTGCATACAAGTATTTCTGTGTAATAGTATATGTGCCATTGTCACCAAACGTCTTATGTAAGTTCTGTATCACTGTTCCATTGCTGTATTATTAATTTTACCTCTTGAAATGTAAGAAATTATCTTGAGAACCTAAATGGCAAGGCTGCACATATTTATTTACTTATTTTTATTCATTAGATTTATGTGCTGTCCATCTCATCTACAGGCAACTATTGTCCAGTATTGATGCTACAACTGGAGAAATGTTAAAATATGAATATTATTTATGGAATGCCTGTGTAATTTATTTATAATTTGTATAATGATTGGATCTATGCCTGCCATTTGGAAAACTTCTGCCGTGGTTCCTTAGGATGCACACAACCTAAGAAAGAGGAAGAAGAATATCTTTTTACTAACTTTGGTGGCACTGCTGCCTGCACCATAGCCTCCTGCCCATTCTTCTCAGGTGCTGCTCCTTCTCAACTCTATCCAGCTAACTGCAGGGACAGCTAGGGCGTTAGGTTTTATAGTGACAGGCAGACAAAACACAACAGGAAATACCATTTGACAAAAAAAGGGGGGGGAATTCTGCATATATTTTGCTAATTCAAAACTTGTATCTGGGAACGTTTTAGCATATGGTAAATCAATAGGTGAGATCAAACTGTTAAAATTTAAAAATGAAGAAAAAAAATAACAGGCTATACAATCAATCCCTGATATGAATAGGAATAATACCAAAACTATAATTATATAAAATCAATATAAACCATTCTAATCTGCCTATAACCTTTTTTTGTTATTTAGCTATATTAATTTTTGCTATCATAATAAAAATATAGTTAGCTACAAATTCTTTGTATACTGTATTTCAGGTGTTTATGTTGAAAACAGGAGTTAGGTGATCCTAGTCTAGGTGCAGCATATTGAAATACCACAAATATGAAGGAAACATGAGACGGGAGACAGACATAAATAACTACTTACTTAATAGGATAATAAACATTTACCTGTATAATGCATGCATGTTTTTAACATGCACATGCAATCAACTTATACACTAGAAAAGGAAAATATTAAGTGTGAATAAAAAAGCTAAAAGATAAATGCTCAAATGGAGTGTTCAAAAGAAGCAATGCTAATATACCTGTTTTTATTTCAAAGCAACCTATAAATTTACACTTGCTTAGATTTAGGAACGCAGAACCACTGAAGTATATATAAGCTTTAAACTCCTAGTTTAAACTCCTAGTTCAATATAGTTCAGGAATAGGGGCATCTTGCCACTCCTGGCAGTCATTTACAATGTTGGCAGTCCCTGACAGCCATCTAATTCACCGAATTTGTAATAGGCTTCTTCACATCATTAACTCAATGCATAGGAAATGTAATGGACCAAACGGATCCATTTTTCTGTGTCCCTAAACCTAACAAAATGGTCCTTTGCCTCTATAGCAGGGCTTTCAAATGTAACTTTCTAAATGCTATCCATCAGAAAATTCTGCCTAGCTCCTGCTCAATGAAAGAATGTTTTGAATGGATCCACAAAGATTCCACAAACAATAAAAATATTCATCTGGATAGAAACATGTAAAAGCATCTGATTTTGTAAGAGTCAAGTTTTTCTGCGGTCTCAATTGTCTAATGAACTAATGAATTGTATAATATGCCAGTATGATTGCAGGGCATTTTGAAATCCAATATTACATATCAATGAAGAAATCTAAAGCATCTTGACTGATCTATTCTTTTCCCTTGCAAAATGTCTACACCAAATAAGAGTCTGTATATTAAAGATCAAAGCAGAGATCAAAGCGCCTGTATATCAATGATCAAAGCACACAACAGAATTTTCAAAGAAAAGGGCACACACCCCTTTACATTATTAATTTAAAAAAAAGAACTCTGAAAGGACTTGCTCTGCAAAGTTATTTAGGGCAGAAAGTTGTTTGTGTACTTGACATATAGATTCAGGCAGCACTTTACATGTAGTCCACAGTTAATGACAGTAATTGTGATCAAAATTTCCATTGTATGCAATGCAGTTATAAAATGTGATGTGGCACGACCATATCACTTAGCAACAGCAATTCCAGCACCTCCCTTTGCCAGTGTTAAGTGAGGATCATGGGTCATTAAGCAAACTCCAGGCAGTTTGCAAGCAGGATGGCAGCCAGGTAAGGAGTGATAGCTGGCACAAGTGCAGCAGGGCCAGGGGTGGCTATTGCCAGGTGGGAGAGGGTGCAGAAATGGCCAGCAGGGAGCAGCATGAGTGTGGTGGGGCCGGGGGGGGTGAGTGTTTCCAGCAAGGGAGGGTGCAAGCAACTAACTGGAGTGAATTATGGCCTTTCTTGCCAACCTCCCTATTGACAATCATGTGACTGCAGGATGCTGGAACTAGGGTGACAGTCAATTGCCAAGCACCAGATCAGGTGACTGGGGGGGGGGAGAATTCTGTGATGGCCTTTTTCAGTGCTGTCATAATTTCAAATGGTTGCTGAATGAATGCAAATATTTATATTTTGTTATCTTCTCCTTTCTCTTCTGTTCTGCTGTCTCTAGGTCAGGGATAGGCAACCTTGGCTCTTTTATCACTCGTGGACTTCAGCTCCCAGAATTCCTGAACCAGCATGGCTCAGCTTGGAAACCTCTCCCTTTCCCCTCAGCATGGCTGGCTCAGGAATTCTGGGAGTTGAAGTCCACGAGTCATAAAAGAGCCAAGGTTGCCTACCCTTGCTCTAGGTATTGCCGCATCCACTATCCTGACTTTTTCTGTCTTTCTTATTGACAGTTGTTACGTCTGGGGTATTATGTGGCAGGTGCTTGTCTGTTTGAATTCTCATTTTCTATTTGTCTCTTTTGTGGTCTCACCAGTTCTTGCTTGCAGGCAAATGGTATTTCTTGCAGATCTTCCAATATATCATTGTTGCTACTTTGTCCTGCTGTTGTTTGTAGCCAATCTGTGTGATCTTCTTGTAGCAGCTAACCAGGCGGTTTACTGTTTCTTCAGCTTCTTTGCAGAGGTGGCAATTACTGTCGGTTTCTGTCTTTTTGATTCTGGCTTTGTGTGCATTTATTCTTAAGTCTTGGTCTTGTGCAGCCAGCATTAGCTCTTCTGTCTCTTTCTTCAACTTTTCTCCCCTTAGCCATTGCTACGTCTTATTATCTGCTTTGCCTGCTATTTTTTTTAATGTGCTGACCATGTAATACCTTGTCTTGCCATATCTGTTCAGTGCATCTTCTTCACTGTCCTTCAGTTATTATTTCAATACCTTTTTTCTTCATCATCCATCTAATGTACTTGCAACATTCCATGCCCACCTATTACTATTATTCTATACTTTCTTCATCTATAAAAGAGCAAGACAACCTCAATATACAAAATAAAAGTTAATATGCAAAAAGGAAAATATGTAAAATGAAACTAGAAATACAAATATGGTTCTTAGAAATTAAGAAACTAAGAGACTTATTAAAATAATTTTTAAATCCCAGGAACAATCAAGAATCTATTTTGCTCTAGCACTCTCACACAGCTGAACACTGTAAGTCCAATTATTTTTCACCAATGCTATGTAACAGTCTCAGAGGGTGGCTGACTTCATACTGTGGTATTACAGAAATGAATCTTATACTAGGGATATAAAGGATCTGTATTTCCAAAATAATCAGCACAATTAGAGAACACTTTACACAGAAGCATTGTTAAAAAAAATTAACTATATTTATAGCCCAGCATTTCTGGAAAGGCAGAACTATAGGTACTGCTTCTCCAAATTAGATTTGGTGGAGGAGGTTGATATTGAACTTTCAGATCCAAATGGACACTATTTTCCTTGTTCATCATACCATGCATAATGGACATGTGGGATTAGCTTTCTTGGAACATCTACCACTAAGTATTTTTTTTTCCTTAGTGACTTCTGAATCATGAACATTTGTAGAGATTGCATATGCTTACTCTCCAAGGGATAGGGAAGACTCTAATACTACTTCCCAGAGAAAATCCCAGTAGAATGACAAGCAAGTAAGGTATGTATTCCTGTACAGAATAACCAGTGGATCACATAGCAGACATACAGATCATTATAAGTGCCTTGGTATCCACAGGAAACACAATGAGGAGACAAGGAATTCAGCAACATCCAATTACCACCAAAGGATAAGACAGAACAGCCAGCTCAATTGGAAGAACAAGATCCATGCCATCAACATGTATGCTCTGCCATTCATCAGCTATTCTGCTGGTATAGTGAGCTGGCCAAAGAAGGACATGAAAGCTGCTGATGTGAAAACCTGAAAACTCCTCACAATGTACGGAGATTTCCACCCCAAGTCCAAAACCCAGAGACTGTACACTAGGCAGAAGGAGGACAGCCAGGGTCTGATGAGTGTCAAAGACACTGTCATGAATGAAACCCAGGGTATCCATCAGTAAGATGGCACCCAAAGATGAGCTGCTGAGAGAATGTCTGAGGAAGCAGCAGATGTGGGGAAAAGATCAAGCAGAGGAAGTGCCATGGCAAGACAAGATCCTGCTAGGAATGTACCATTGACACATAGCTGAAGTGGCAGACATTGGGAAATTCTACCAGTGGTTGGAAAGGGCTAGACTAAAAGACAGCACTGGGGCACTGATCATAGCAGAACAAGAACAGGCACTAAGCAGCAGATCCATAGAAGAGGGATCTACCACACAAGATAGAACCCACAGTCAAACTATGCAAAGAAGCCTCAGAGACAGTCCAACAGATAGTGGCAAGGTGAAAGATACAGGCAGGAACACCATACCCCGAACAGCACAACAACCAAATAGATGGCATTGTATACAAGAACATCTGTACAAAATGTGGGCTACACCCTCCTAAGTCTAAACTGGAGATCCTACAGGAGGTTGAGGAAAATAAGAGGGCTAAGATCCTGTGCGATTTCCAGATCTAGACAAGCAGACAAGTACTGGCCAATCAACCAGATATTGTTAGTTGACAAAGACCAGAAGACAGCAGTGGTGATAGATATAGCTGTGCCAAATGACAGCAACAACAGAAGGAGCATGAGAAGTACCAGGGCCTGGAGGAGGAATGGAGAGGATGTGGAAAGGAAAGGCCAAAGTGGTCCCAGTAGTAGTAGGAACACTCAGGATTGTGACTCCTAAGCTGGGAGAGTGGCTCAAGAATAGCTAAAGATCCTGCACAGAACCTTCACACTCCCAGGAGTCGGGAAGAGGACCCGAGATTAAGGAAGACACAGACCACCCATATTGATGGGAAGGATTTTTTTATAACTGAGTTTGAAACATATAATGTTCTTTTTAAAAAATAAGAGGACCCACTCATTAGTCTATTGAATTAAAATTGCAGTTCTTGACTCCACTTACTAAATAAGTAATAAACATGTTTTCAGTAATGAATTTAGTATCACACATAGTTTTGCCTCTGAAATTTAAAAAACAATTAAAGCATCTTATGTGGTTAAGTGTTTAATAATTACAAGTAATATATTTCAATGGACAATTATTTTACCAATTCTCCTAAATAAATAATTGTTCTGAATGATCATGAACAGATCAGAGACTGGTCATTTAGTATCATCACATCATACGTTTTGTCAGTTTATGTCAGTTGGAGTTACATGTTCACTTTGCTCTTGTTTCTAGGGAATAAAACCATGCTTTTGTACATTTTTAGCAATCTATGAATATAGCACTTTGCCTGAAAGACTGAATGCTATATAATTATTTGTTATATTTCTTTCCAACTGCAATCAAATAAGACTCTTTCTGGTTTTATCCATCAGCATTCCCAACATTTGGATTGTGTTCATCGGAAATCCCATTATAATAAGAGTGAGGGTACTTCTTTCCTTGTGAAAGTCTGAAACCTCATCAAGAATATCTTCTAAAATTCTTCTTCTACTGTATAGCATTATACTGTTAATGTACACAGCCTCTTACCATCATGATTAGAACTTCCCAGTGTCCAGGGCTCATCTGAGTCAAAATGAGTATCACCTCCTATTCCTGGTCCAGGAAAATAAGCATGAGCTAGAAATCCACCCTCCCCATCAAAAGGAGAGCTATCACCATGGAAACCAGAAGCAAAAAATATCATGATATCTGCCTCTTTTCTGTCACTTTTTATTTCATGGTAAGGAACTTCTTCAAAGGTAAGTGGAGTCACTCTCTGCCAAACATCAAATGCTTGTCGAATGGCTTTCCTTGTATCAAGTTCTCCAACCTTGGGGGTGTAGTTGTGTACACTGTATGAAGGAGAAGAAGAACGTATTTAAAACTTATAAAAGGATTGCTTTTTTACATGAGAAATTTTCATTGAAGTTTTGGATTAGTACAATTGCAACAATAAATTTGGTAACCTTTTAATATTGTTTGAAAGTATTTCAGTTATGAAGTTATGAATTAACAGTTTTATATTGTTTCTTACCAAATATTTGAATGTAAAAACAATATGAAATATGGTACTGAATTTCTATTCAGTAACTTTAAGATGTGTGGACTTCAAATCCCCTGCTGGCTGGGGAATTCTGGGAGTTAACTTCCATATATCTTAAAATTTGCTAGGTTTGAAAAACACTGGATTAAACCAGTATGGTTGAAGGGTGCCTAAGGATTCAAGTCTAAAATTTTGGAACATACAAGGCTGCTCAACAAAATTAATACAACACTCAATCTTCCACATATTTACTATAGAATCTGGAAGTAATATTAGATTACTTGTATGGATAAACATAACTAATTCAGGCCCTTAACTAGTCCATTCTTATCAGGGGGGGGGAAGAGAATAAATGGCACTTATACAAGGAGTCATAGAAAAGTAGAAATGTGTAAAAGGTTTTAATTCAAACCATTTCAAATTCATAAATGTGATATTGAAGACAAAATATTATATTATAAACATATATTACAGAACTGTTTTGTCAACTTTTATCTAGTAATTATTCGGCTGTGATCTATCCATACTTAATTGTATCAAAAAGATACATCTGAGATTCTGAGAATAATATGGAAATGGAGAAAGCTGTTATATTATTTGTTATCATTAGATAATCATATTCATACTGGAGTATCTATAATATCTTCTAGATAACCAAGTACAAGGCATAGATATTTTAGAATCCCAGTGCTTTAATTGTAAATTTAAGTTATTCAGCAACTGGACTCTGGCCAACAAATCTTTCTTATAGATCTAAATATTCACAACACACCAGAGATATTGGGGTTAAAGGGAAATAAAATTATGCATATTGATCACATGCAAGGACATTCCAGGGAGGAATTGGCAACTCTGTATGGAGTTACCATACAGAGGTCTTCAAAGGGTTTTAACATCATTAAGAACAGTTCTGCTTGATCAGAAACCTAACATTCAGTTTCCATATGGCTAACTACAGTTCTTAACAACAATACCTCCTCATTCATGTTTTCAAGTAATAGTGAGCATGCATTGAGAACTATGCTGCTTTTGACATACTTGCATACTGTACATACATACATACCCTTACTACTATACTTCCTTTTGGAGTGTTATGTAGAAAACATAAAAAATAAAGAAATGTAATAGTAAACCAAAGAAATCAAACTAACCTGATCCATCCTTTCACTGTCTTACTAAAGCCTTTAACTGTCTTTGACATTACAGTAGAATTCCAAAATAGCTATTGTCCTACATTTTTCAACATGGATAGTTATCAGTGGTGGAATCAATGACTGAAAAGAAGGAGGCTCTGGTAGGGGGAGTTAAGAGATATTCCAGCCTGGACTCCATAAAGGGAGGGAGCATACGCAATCAAATACTTAGGACTATCTCAGGCTTTCCCAAGGAAAGGCAGACAGTCTGATGAGATTCTTGTAGACAATAAGAAATCTCTTGACCTAAACCTCGGAGCTATTCTTGTTGCTTGTGTCTGGCATTTATCTTATAATGGTAAAGGAGATGCACATCCCAATGAATATACTATGAGTTTTATCACTGTAATGTATATTCCCAGGAAGGACAGAGTAAAAACAATTTTTTGAATAAGAAAATGACAAATATCCTCCAGTATTCTTTCCAAAAAACTAAACAGATATTTACGACCAGTACAATGACAATATGATACTGGAAGGGGAAGCCTCCAGCTGTCTGTGGATTCACTGAAAATAACTGAATAAAGGCAAAAAGCAAAAGGCAACACAGAGAGAAGAAAATTTGCCCAACTAAATATTATATTCAAGAAAAGAGCAAATAGCTGTATCTAAATATTGTAAGCATTGCAAGGAAATTGAGGATAACAATGGAATGGAAAGACCAAGAGATTTAGTTTTTCCGCCTGGGAAAGCCAAGGGAAATCATCAAAACAATTAAAAAACGAAAATTAGAATATTTTGGACACGTGATGCGACACCCAGAAAAATATGGCATACTCCATTTAATCCTCCAGGGAAAGATTGAAGGCAAATGAGGTCCAGGCAGAAGAAGAACATCGTGGCTTCAAAATCTAAGGGACTGGTTTGGACAAAACTCAGCAGCACTTTTTTGTGCGGCTGCTGATAAAAACAGGATCGCTAACATGATCGCCAATGTCCGATAACGGATATGGCACAAGAAGAAGAAGAAGAAGACCAGAGACAAATTCCTTGTATGTCCAATCAGACTTGGCCAATAAAGAATTCTATTTCCTATTTACTAAGAAAATCACAGAAAAACCTTTATGCAACAATAGGCACAATATAAAATAAATAGGGCTAAAAAAAAGAAGAGATAGTGTAAATATAAGGAATAATTGTATTAAAAAAATCCCTAAATCAAAAAAAAGTATGACCATTGAGCTAGAGCAGGAGTGTCAAACTGCCGGCCCACGGGCCAGTTTCATCATACTGAAGCTGCGCCCACCCCATTGCCAGCAATGGCAAAACTGGCCCGATACGTTGCGCGATGTCACGTGACATCGCGAGTTTGACATGTCTGCACTAGAGAGTGATAGTCAGGAAAATGAAGTTAAATGGGCCCTTGAAAACATCACTAACAACAACGCTACAGGAATTGATGTAGCAAAGTAGCAAAGCTGTTTAAAATCTTACAAGATGATACAGTTAAAGTATTTCACGGTTTGTAAGCAAATACTGTACAGAAAATACAGCAGTAGCCAAAGAACTGAAAGTCATCCATTTTTATTCCAATATTTTAAAAAAAACTGTCAAAGGAAGCTCAAACTGCTTAACTACCATGATATGGCTCTCTCCCTTGCCTGTAAGGAAAGGATAGAGATTTTGTAACTGATATTTCAACAAGAGCTGCCAGATGTATAAGCCTAATTTAAAAGAGACAGGAGCACCCAAGACCACATTGCTAACATCTGGTGAAAAACAGAAAAGGAAAGAAGGTTCTTAAAATATGCTAATTTTTGCTTTATTGATTATATGAAGGGGATAATTATAGATAGTCCTAAAACATATGGATGTACCAAGCCATCCCATTGATCTATTGAATAATTTGCATGATAATCAGGAAGCAACAGTTAGAATAGAATATGAGGCAACTAAATTATTCACAATGGGGAAGGAATGGTACAATTTTATAGTGTCACCTTGTTTAATTAAGTTATATGCACAATATATGCTGGACTAGAAGTAATGGAATTTAGCATTAATATTGCAAGGAGAAATAACAGCCTCAAATATACTGATGTCACTTTGCTAGTAGACATGAGGAAGGCTTAAGAAATTTCTTGGTGAAGGTGAAAGAAGACAGTGCAAAAGCCTAAATTATGTCACTAATCAATATCAATTCAATGCAAGTAGAAAAAGGAAGATGAGGAGGAAAACGATTAGCAGTAGTTAAAACGGTAACAAATTTTATCTTCCTAGGCTCAACATTTTACAGGAATGGTGAAAGAAACAATACACCTGCTACTTGGAAAAAGGCTACAATAAGCCTAGACAAAATATTCAAATGAAAATAGAACCCAATGACAACCAAAGTATATGTTATCAAATCTATGTTTTTCTTAATTATTACAAATGACTGTGAAAGCTGAACTGTCAGAAAGGTTGATAAATCAAAAGGATGCCTTTGAAATGTACTGCTAGAGAATATCTTGGACCAACAAGATATTTATTGTTGGACCAACAACAAAAGGTTCAGTTACAGCAGATGTAACTACAGATCCTTCAGTGGAAGACCTAACTATGAAGCTATAACAGTGATGGCGAACCTTTTAGAGACCGAGTGCCCAAAAACTGGCCCCACCCCCACTCCACCTCCCAGCTCCGCCCCCACTCCACCCCCCCATCCCCCACCCACCCGCTCACAAGACCACTCACCGCCTCCAGGGCCCACTGCACATCGCCCAGGCAGCCCAGCAGCGTTATGGCGGCCACACCCTCTGCCCGCGCCCTGCAGTATCAACTGCATGATGGGGCGTGAGAGCAGAGTCTTGTCTACGCTGCCCGGCTGCCATGTCCTTGGCTGCGTTGCTCCGTGTGGGCCGTGCCCGAGGGTGACTCTCCAGGGGAGCTGCTGGAGAGGAGGGGGTCGCGGGGGGAGGCGAGGCTGGGGCAATGGCACGTGTGCCCACAGAGAGGGCTCCGAGTGCCGCCTTTGGCACCCGTGGTATAGGTTCACCACCACTGAGCTATAACTTAAATATTTTGGACACTTAATGTAAAGACTGGAGAAACCCCTGATATTTTAAAACAATCGGAAAAGAGGCTGACAAAAGACAAAGTGGCTAGGTACTGATAACACTGGTACTGATAAAAGTTCCCCAAAAAATCAACGAATAACAAACAAACATGGTGAGATTATGTCCGTTGAGTTATGAACTGAACAATAGTACTCTGCACTGTTTTTCCAAACACTTTTAAAATTGCCTAAATTGGCAACTTTATGCAGAAAGAAAAATATAACTCTATTTTTATAATAATAATAATAATAATAATAATAATAATAATAATAATAATAATAATAATAATAATAATAATAATAATAATAATAAAGTTGGAAGGGACCTTGGAGGTCATCGAGTCCAACCCCCTGCTCAGGCAGGAACCCTACACCATTTCAGACAAATGGCTGTCCAGCCTCTTCTTAAAAACTTCCAGTGTTGGAGCATTCA